TTTATGGTGGATCCATGATTATATGTAATTTGGACAAATTTTGTGCAAAATCTAAGATTGAAGGAGAATGCAAGAGATTTGAATTCAAGTTTTTCCAGCTCCTTAGGGGAGAGGAGAGAAGAGGAAATTGACACTTGTTGAGCAATATTCTGCTTATTTGTTCATTCTTCATTCATTATTTCAATGTTTATTGAACACTTACTATGTGCCAGGCACTGTTTTAAGTGCTGGGAATAGAGTGGAGTACCAAATGGTGCACTCCCAAGAAAGTTACAGTCACCCCTCAGTACTGGAGGGGATTGATTCCAGAGCCCAGGAGATATCAAAATCCACAAATGTTCTAGTCCTTTCTGTAAAATGACATCATCTTTGCATGTAAACTCTGCATATTCCATATACTTTAAATCATCTCTAGATTACTTATAAAACCTAATACAATGTAAAGGCTATGCAAGTCTTGTTATGGTGTATCTAAAAATTTTGTATTACTTTTTGTGTTTTGTTGTTTTTATTTTTCAGAATATTTTAATCTGTGATTGGTTGAATCCGAGGAGGCAGAAGCCACAGATATGGAGTGCTGACTGTTTAATAATAATTAAGTGAAAAGTGGAATGATGCTCTAGTTAAGGGAGGGGACTCTGGAGTCAGACTGTGTTCAGATTCCAACCAACCCTGGCACCTACTAATTGTATAACTTTGGGTAAGTCATTTCACCTTCCTGTGCCTCAGTTTCATCTGTTAAATGGGAAATAATAAGGATATCTGAGTCATCACCTATTTAGCAGAATGACTTAATATTTAACATTAGTACAAAATGGATTGGTGGTATTTGGTGAGTAAACTAAATAAACGCACGTCCTGAAGGAGGAATTCAGTGGGATCTGAAAAGCGGAAAAGGAAACTGGCTTCGTCTGGTTAGGCTAAGCGCTGTGTATAGTTTGTCTCATCTAAATCTGTATAATCTCAAGTTTGACCATATTTTCTTCTCTTTTTTCCCCTAACAAATGAGGAAACAGACCCAGGAGTGTAAGGTCATTTGCCACTGAGCATATAGAGTAAGATCTGAGTAGCAGAGTGAGGAACTGAACCTAGGTAAGGTTTGATTCCACAAAGTTCTACCTCCCCAGGTAAAACTGCACTGTGGCACTGAGAGGTGAATAGTTATTTGACTCATAAATACAAAATACCTTTCCCCTTCTCTCCACCTAAGTAACATGGGACAAAGGGCTACAGGAAGAGAACAAGGGAATTCCGTCTAGTAGGTAACCTTACAGCTCAGTGTGGCCAATACTCACTTTATGCTCCACTATGACAAAAGGCCACAATATGTTTGCTGGCACTTTGGGTAGGGGGTGGGGTGGGGCAGGGAACCCACTGTCTCCCCAAATAGTCCATCTTTTTGCAGACCTCTGGGTTTGTCTGAGATGCTTGTTGGGCAAGTTCTCTCTCTTGCTCATTTTTAAACCAGTTTGTTTGATTCCTTGTTCATTCAAAATTGTTTCTTCTCATGTAACCCTCATGTATCCTTTGTTTTCCTAGGAATATAAAGAAACTAACTACCAAATCTTTGTAGATTTAAGTGGAAGAATGTGTTCTCTTTCCTCTTTTTTTGAGAAAGCTCTGAGGGAGGTTATACTGTCTTTATTCATTATCAGAAAATGCCTCTATGTGGAAGTCAGGATTAATGTTCCTAAGCCAAGAAAAAATGTCATGTTCATGATACAGTTTTGCACAGGTATATTATTTTAGGGATAAGAATAGTTAAAATGTATAAAGTGCTTATTATAACCAAGCACTATACTAACACTCTGTATAGGCTAGTTGCTCATTTAATTCTCCCAACAGCCCTAAAGACTTTGATTAGCTCTGACTAGTAGATGTGGAAATTAGGGCTGAGATAAGTCAAGTTCCTTATGCAGTAACATGTAGTAAGTGGTAGATCATCTTTTTGAACCCATGCTATCTGACTCCACTATCCACTTTCTTAACCACAAGACCGCAGCTTCTGAGGCAGGAGGATCACAAGGTCAGGAGATCAAGACCATCATGGGCAACATGGTGAAACCCCACCTCTACTAAAACTACAAAAATTAGCTGGACATGGTGGTGGGTGCCTCCCAGGTACTAGGGAGGTTGAGGCAGAAGAATCACTTGAACCAGGGAGTCAGAGGTTGCAGTGAGCCCAGATCATGCCACTGTACTCCAGCCTGGTGACAGAGCAAGATTCTGTCTCCAAAAAAAAAAAAAAGAAAGAAAGAAAAACTGTATGGACTCTAACTTGCTACGTTACTGTTAGCAAGACTAATAGTTTCTTTCTGTACCTAGTGACATTCTTGGTGTATGATGAATACTTCATAAACATTGAATGAATGAATGAATGGATGAGTGACCTCATGCATAGGATTGGCACAGCCTCTGTGTGGCTTTTTAATTTTGCTTTTGAAAAAAAGTCAATTTCCCTTATTGACCTTCAAAAGTAATATTAAATATCCAAGCTTAATTTGTTGGAATAGGAATTTTGGAAACATCCTTGGTAAGAGTAGCTTTGTCTTTGGGGAATTGGGAGCATCTTTGGGATGCTCCCATTATAGAAGCCTGTAATGACTCTCATTCCCCATCTGCATTGATTAACCTTGGTAATTCCCAGGTCTTCTCTTAGGTGTAACCTGTGGCATTAAGAAAACAAATGCGAGGGCTCTGGTGTCAAAGACTTTTACTGCTATTTATTTTTTCATGAATTTATTATAAATAGGATAGTGGAAGGAACCAATGAGCTGTGAATCATTTACATACTCTCAGAGCCCATTCATTTATTCTTTGGCCCAGCTATGGAATGAACGTGCATGGGGGGCATTAATTTTGCTAGAAGCAACAGCAGAGTGCATGCTGCTTCATTCTTTAGACTAATATATCTTGTAGGACCTGGTGATTCAGAGGTGGGAGGTCTGGAGAAAGGTCCAGCTGGAATTTGGAACCAGTGTGCCCATAACTACTCAAAGTTAGCAATGTTCCCAGGGATCATGGTGACGGTGCCAAGATAAGGTCAGGAGTACAAGCATCTTCAGTGGCTGTTTTCATAAGTCACCAATGCCATTTAAAGAGTTTACTTAAAATAGTTGCACCATGAGTTGAAGATGTCCCAAAAAGGAAGCTTCCAGAAGGAGGAGGATATAGTATTTCGAAGTTAGGGAGTGTTTGGGTCCCAGCTCCAGTACTTATTTTCCTGATTTTTAGAATTCCCCATCAGTGAGGATGTCAGAATCTGTTCATGGAATCTGGCTGAGGTTAAGCAGTTTAATAAAATAATAAGCTTCTTCTTCAGAACTAATCAGAGTGTGGTTCAAATCTTGGCTCCACTACTTACCAGCTGTGAGTCCTTAGGCATGATTTTTTTTTTTTTTTTTTTTTTTTTTTTACCTTCTTGAGTCTCAGTTTCCTCAACTGTAAATGATAATGGGTATATCTAACCATTCAGAGCTGTTTGAGGACTAATGCAGTAATGCATGGAAAGCTTCTGGCATAAACATGTTTTTCAAGGTTCTGTTTCATTCTTTCCTCCAGTTCCCCTCATAGGCTACCAATGCATAGTGATAAATACTCTTGTTGTTGTTTTGAGATAGGTTCTCACTCTGTTGGCCAGGCTGGAGAACAGTGGCATGATCTCGGCTCACTGGGCAGCACGTCCTGGGCTCAAGTAGTCCTCTCACCTCAGTCTCCCCAGTAGCTGGGACCACAGCTATATACCACCATACCTGGCTAATTTTGGTATTTTTTGATAGAGTCTCTCCATATCACCCAGGCTGGCCTCAAACTCCTGTACTCAAGTGATCCACCAGCCTTGGCCTCCCAAGGTGTTGGGATTACAGGCATGAGCCACTGAACCTGGCCAATAAATCCTTGTCTTAGTTAATACAAATTTTATACCAGAAATCTGATGTTTGAAGTTAACAGAAAGTCCAATTCAGGTTGCCTTGGACAGCAAAAGGGATTTATTGACTTGGGTAAATGAGTCAATATTTACCCAAGGAGATATGGCTTCAAATGGGATTTGATCTAAGGCACAAGGATGTTTCCCATTTCTTCTCTCCACTTTCTTTTCTGCCTCATCCTAAAAGTGACGCCACTCACAATTCAAAATGGTTGCCAGAAGCTTGCAGGAGTCCTTTGTATTTCCCGGTCTTCTCTTGGGTGCAACTTGGGACATTAAGAAAACAAATGGGGCCGGGCGTGGTGGCTCACGCCTGTAATCCCAGCACTTTGGGAGGCCAAGGCGGGTGGATCACGAGGTCAAGAGATCGAGACCATCTTGGTCAACATGGTGAAACCCCGTCTCTACTAAAGATACAAAAAATTAGCCGGGCATGGTGGCGCGTACCTGTAATCCCAGCTACTCGAGAGGCTGAGGCAGGAGAATTGCCTGAACCCAGGAGGCGGAGGTTGCGGTGAGCCGAGATCGGGCCATTGCACTCCAGCCTGGGTAACAAGAGCGAAACTCCGTCTCAGAAAAAAAAAAAAAAAAGAAAACAAATGGGCAGGTACAGTGGCTCACGTCTGTAATCCTAGCATTTTGGGTGGATCACCTGAAGTCGGGGGTTTGAGACCAGCCTGACCAATATGGTAAAACACCCTCTGTACTAAAAATACAAAAATTAGCTGGGTGTGGTGGTGCACCCCTGTAATCCCAGCTACCAGGAAGGCTGAGACAGAATTGCTTGAACCTGGGAAGTAGAGGTTGCAGTGAGAGGAGATTGCACCACTGCACTCCAGCCGAAAGAGCAGGACCCTGTTTCAGAAAGAAAGAAAGAGGGAAGGAAGGAAGGAGGAAAGGAAGGAAGGAAAGGAAGGAAGGAAAGAGGAAAGGAAGGAAGGAGAGAAAGGAAGGAAAGAGAGAGGAAGAGAGCTCTTGTGTCACAGATATTTTACTGATTTATATTTTCATGAATTCATTATGGTATTTATAGCAAATACGGTATTTATGGCAAAAATAAATACAAACTTACGGCATATAAGTCCTCTGTTTCCTTGTCCCCATGCTGTTCTGTATAGTTATCTCAGGTAGGTATGAAGGATGTTTTTTTACCTCTAGCAAATAGATTTCTTATCTCGACGGCTCACAGCGTATCAGGTTTGAACCAATCAGGATGGCTTCCTGGAGTATGTGGATCGGTTTAAGGCAATCAGAACCCACCCCTGGAGGTGAGGAAGAGGCTGTGTATTTAAGAGGCAGAAGATACCCAGCCAAAACCTGTGCTTTTATTACCAAGAGGAAAAAGAAGTAGATGCTAATTATTATTATTTTTAATACTTTTTACTTTTCCCCCAAAATAGAGTAAGCATATTCACCCAGAACACTCACAGTTGTGATCTTGTGCTATTTTAGAGGACCTGGTGCATGCTAGATTTTAATAGGATTTTATTTGTAATCCTTCACAGCCGTGACTGGTTTATTTTGGGTCACAATGAGCTGAGGATCATCATCTGGTTTGGATTCTGAGGTTTCTGGGCCTCCCTGCTGGAAGATTTTATGCGGCCCCTATAATAGTGGAAAATATGCTCAATTGTAAGGAGTTAATTGGCGCTAACTAAAGCACAGTGAACAATTTGGTGGTGATTCACAGGGAAAGGATGGTTAAGGTTTAACAATGAAGCCATAAGAAATTTGCTTTAGAATTCAGTAGCACGATTTTTTTTTTTAATAGCAGCTCAGTTATTTAAAATCACTGTGCCTGGCTCACAAACCAGGAAATGCTCAAATGAAAGCATGTGTTTCAGTTCTGGAGTTCCAATCTAATCTTTTCTCTCTGCTGTGGGAGTGGTGTTTTAGACCTGGTGCAAATCACATGGACACAAGATCGAATCCCTGCTCTACCTTTTGCTAGGTGGCCCTGTGTTCTCTCATCTGTAAAATGGAAGTGATAGCTACTGCAGAGAACTGCGGTAAAACTGAAAACAGATATGTGAAGCACAGTGCCCAGCGCAGAGTGAGACAGAGTGATCAATAGTACTTGCTAATATCAGGAGTGGTAATAGAAGATGGTGGAAAAATATGTGTCATCTCAAGTAATCTACCCTCTCGGTGCCTCAGTTTCTTCACTTATAGAATGGGGAAATTAATATTCCTGCTTTATGGAGTTGTTGGGAAGAGCAAGTGAATTAAAACACATCATTCATGCTTGGCACACAGCAGGTGTTCAGAAAGCAGGCTGTGGTCCAGCGGTTCTCAATCAGGGGTGATTTTATCTCCTAGAGGTCATTTGGCAACATCTGGAGACATTTTTGTCACAATGGATGGAGGGTACTATTGGCATCTACAGCTTAGAGTCCAGAAATGTGACTCAATATCCCACAGTGCACAGGACAGGCCCCCAAAACCAAGGATTATCTGGCCCAATAGATCAACAGTGCCTGAGGTTGAGAGACTCTGCTATAGTCAACAGCCTGAACATGCTCATCTTTTGCTCCTTCTGTGGCTTTTGTAACTTCTGCTTCCCACAGAGAACTGCTCCCATGGGACAGAGGCCAATTATTAGAAGAGAAGACGGCTAGACTGGCCTTGTGAAGTGGGTCTGGCTATGCTCACTTAAAAAAAAACTGTTAAAAATAAAGCTTAAAAAAAACCTCATTATTCTAAAGCACCCCAGGCTCCACCACCCTCTGAGCCGGTCTTTTCAAAGCCAACCTGGGTTTAAATAGCAGCCTCATCTGTTGTGACCTTGAGCAAGTTATTACTGTTTTTATCCCCTCTTTACTCAGTTGCAAAATGGCGATATTAATATATTTACCCACTAGGGTTGTTGCAAAAGCACTTGCCACAAGCCCAACGCCATAGATGGCGCACGACGGCCACTGCCACGCCTTGGTGGTTGTTGCCTCTGAAATGGCATCGTGACATTCCCACCTGCTCTTCCCACCTGGGTGGATGCTTAAAAATATAAGCGGAACACAGACAGGAAGGCATTTCCCCCAAAGTCAAAAGAAATCATAAATGTAAGGAAGTTGTTAATATTAATTTGCAGGAAGATGAGGAACAGCCGGGGAGACTCCCTCTGGTGAGGATTTCATGAATTTCAGGAGTGCAGATCCAGCTCCCTGCAGCGCCTAAGCTCCTCGCTCTGGGTTTCTCTGCAGAGACAAACACCAGACCTCCTCTTTGAGGAGAAGCCTGCATCTTATTTTCTGACTACTTCACTTATTGCACCACAACAGATTTTCTATTTTCTAGCAGAAAAAACACAAAGCAGAAGCAAGAATGCATCCCAACTATTTACCAATTGTATTTTTTTTCACCAGATAATGCAGGAAAACTGCATGAAGCCCCTTAGTGCGTATGTTTGTGCGCAGCGATTGTGTCTGCATGCTGTGTGTGGGGAGTAATGATTGCATGCATGTTGTGTGTTTCTAAGCAATTATGCACATGATTGTATGCCCGGGCATGTGCCCACAGTCACATATGCCTCTGCTTGTAAGGGCTTGTCTCCTATGTCTTTATATGTATGTGTCTCAGGATTTATATGCAAGCCCATATGTATGTACTTTGTAACTTACATGTAAGATATATGTATGCGAATAGGCAAACTTAGTCGTGTACTTATGTACTTAAACGACAAATACCAGTGTGTCAGGATGCATATGAATAGGCATACATGTGCTTATTGGCATGTGTGCATGTGAATATTTGTGCATGTGCTGAAGGTTGTGAATATAAGTTCATGTTGGTGCTTAAGTGTATTTTAGTGAACAGTATCTATGGCTGTGCATCTGGTACATTTCTGTGTGTTCGTAGAAGTGTATATGTTCACGTGTGCATCTGTGTGTAAGAAATAAGAAGAGCAAAGATCTTCAGTGGATTTTTAGCTCTGTGGCCACCACATTTTTTTTTTTTTTTTTTTTTTTTTTGAGATGGAGTCTTGCACTGTTGCCTGGGCTGGAATGCTGTGGAGCAATTTCAACTCACTGCAACCTCCACTCCCAGGTTCAAGCAATTCTCCTTGCCTCAGCCTCCTGAGTAGTTGGGATTACAGACACTGACCACCACACCTGGCTAATTTTTCTGTATTTTTAGTAGAGACGGGGTTTCACTATGTTGGCCAGGCTGGTCTCGAACTCCTGACCTTATGATCCTCTTGCCTCGGTCTCCCAAAGTGCTGGGATTACAGGTGTGAGCCACCACACCTGGCCTGTGCCCATCATTTTGTGAAGAAGAACGTGTTCTTCCCATAAATCAGCTTGGGAAAGAAGCAGGGACAGAGACATGTAAACTGAGAGGGAAAAATTTTATTAGTCACTTGTTCCCCCTCTTTCGCAGTGAATACTTACTAACATTTAAAAAACTGAGTATGCATTAAAAATGTGGTGGGGAAGCGATTTTTAAAAGATTCCTTGTGTATCTTACGTTCTCAGGAAGAACTGGAGTTGAAGGGTCCAGACTTTGACCAGCAGAATCTTGCTTCGTTTACATTCCAACAAACTGCGCATCCAAGAGAACGTGCTAGAAATCCCTGGCTTAGCTGTGTGTTTGCTGATCTGTGGTTAAGAGTTGCCACTTGGACAGTTTTTAAAATGATGATGAGGACATTTTGCTGGTGCTGGAAAGGGAAGCCAGTGGACTCAATTCTATTATTTCAGAAAGTTCAAATTATAGAAGGTTTGAGCTGGCAAGGCACTTACGCATCACCTAGTTTAACTTTCTTTTTGCACGGACGAGTAAAACTGAGTGGGAGAGTTTCCAGGGGCTGGAAGTAGGGCCATGAACAAAATGAACAAGGTCTTCAAGGAGCTTAGAATGTAGAGAGGGAGTTGTGAATGCCTCATTCCTTCTGTCTCCAGTCCGGCCACACTGCTTTCTTTCCATTGTTTCAACCTCTCTACTGCCTCAGGAACTTTGCACTGCTGTTGTTCCATCTTTCTAAAATATTCCAGATCTTCCCTGAGTCACTCCTTCTTATCATGGAGTTCTCAGCTCTAATATTAACACTTCCTCATATACACGATCTAAAATACTCCCCATGCCTACAGTCATTTCCTAATAGATCACCCTGTTTTATTGTCTTCATAACCTACAATGATGAATTTTATGTGTCAACTTGACTGACCTAAGGGGTGTCCAGATAGCTGGTAAAAAAATTGTTACTGTCTATTATAGAGTTTTTCTTTTTTGTTAAATATAAAACCAACCTATTAGTTTTCTGAAAGATCTTATACTTACATTCTAAACTTTGCACCAATTTTTTATTTGTTTTTAATCGACACATAATAATTGTACATATTTATAGGGTACAGTGTACTGTTTCAATACATGTATGCATTGTGCAGTGAATAAATCAGGGTATTTACTATATCCATTACCTTACACATTTATCATTTGTTATATAAAATATTGTCAACCACAGTCATCCTTCTGTGCGATAGCACACCAGAACTTTTTCCCTCCGATCTAACTTTGGACTCATTGACCTTCATCCCTCCATTTCCCCTCCCTCCTCCACTCCCAGACTCTGGTAACAAGTACTCTACTTTATAGTTGTATGAGATCAGCATTTTAAGATTCTGCGTATGAGAGAGATCATGTGGTATTTGTCTTTCTATGCCTGGCTTATTTCGTTTAACATAATGACCTCCAGATTCATCCATGTTGCTGCAAATGACAGGATTGTGTGTGTGTGTGTGTTGTAGCCAAATAGTATTTTATTGTCTATATGTACTATATGTTCTTTATCCATTCATTCATTGTTGGACACAGGTTGAGTCTATTATCTTGGCTACTGTGGAAAGTACTGCAATAAACATGGGAGTTTCATATCGTCATTTTATTTTCTTTGTATATATACCCAGCTGTGGGATTACAGGATCAAATGGTAATTCTACTTCTAATATTTTGAGAAAACTTAATACTGTTTTCCATAATGGCTTTACTGAATTACATTCCTACCAAAAAGATATGCATTCTGCTTTCTCCAAATCTTTGCCAGTGTTTGCTATTTTTTGTCTTTTTGATAATGGCTATCCTAACTGGG